TGATATTATGGTAAGTAAGTATCACTAATCACTTAATAATCAATAGTTTTTTGTGTGGGTTCTTTTCAGTTTCCTGTTTTCTTTCCCTACAAAAACAAAAAAGAAGAGGAACTTTTTTTGAAATGGAAGAGAGTGAACAATCTTTTAGTTTCTTTTGTAGTTAATGATGTTTTTGTTGTGGGACTGTTTTTTTTTATAGGTGCCATTTGGGAAAGCTGCGTTTTTTCCTGGTAGATTGATACACACTAATGAGTTCATGGTAAGCAAAGCTTTGTTTTTTTTTTTTTTGCTTTGTAGATAATGGAGAATTTTGTATTTTTATGCGGATTTTACTTGAATCAGAGGGTTAGAAGAGAATCCTTTCGTATTTTTTTTGGGGATTTTTGGTTGAAATAGATGATTAGAGGAAGCCCTTTTTTTTTGTTTATGAAAATTGGGAATTTAGAGGTGATGGTTATGTGTTATTTTTGTGTGAAGGTTCTTTTAGGAGATGGTTATTATGCTGAAAGAACAGCTAAGCAAACTGTGGAGATTTTGGCAAGGAGAGGGAAAGCTCTGGATTCTCAAATTGAATCTCTTATGGCAAATATGAAAGATCTTAAAGCCGAGGCTTCATTTTTTGATGTTACGGCTTCTGAGGCTGCAGTAGGTTTTGCAGAATTTGATTATTTTTTTATGAGGCTTAATCCATGCTTGTAATTGAAAGAACCATGAATAGATTTTACAGTACATGATCTTTCTGAACATTTTGAATACTTTATTGTCATCCCATACAAATGCGCTCCAAAATATTTTACTTTAGGATAGCCAGTCTGTAAAGTGTTCTTTTGATATGGTTGGTTTTTGAAAGAAAGATACAGGTGTTGCATTTGTTTGCATTTTATTCTAAACACTACAACATCATCAGTTTTTCCATTTTCTACCAATATCTGTTTGGAGCAAACTCATAGGTTTGTATGCTATTTTAACTTCCATTTTTAGAACATGTGTATATCTTCTATGCTACTTGTTAATTGTTTTTTTTCCCCCAATATGTGCAAAAGGAGGGTCTTGTGGAAATAAGGGAAGATTATGTGGAGGAAAATTCTCGGGAAAAACATTCCAAATCAGGCAAGTCTCTTGCCTCTCAACCTTTTCATCAGTAGCTTTGTTTTGGTGGAGTGACAAATGCAAGTTGAAGTTTTTTAGGCATACAAGATAAATTCTCATGTCTTGGATCACCTTGGAACTGATGTATCATTATTGTCTGGTCCATGTAACTTTCAAGTTAGATGTTGCTTCTGCTTTCTGTTGGCACACAGAACTCATGCTTTCTACACAAGTATTTATCTACACAAGTATTTATGCTTACAGTTTAAAAGATTTCCTTCTGTTGTTTTAATGATTTGCAATAGATCACATTCATTTTAAATTTGAGATATCAACTTTTCTTTTCATGACGCAGATGACAAGAATAATGACGAAAAAGTTGCATCTGAAGATGATGAATATGCCCGCATAATGTCTAGGTTGGATGAGCTGGAGAAAGAAGAACTAGAAGCTGAAGATGAAGAAGCGGACGCTGAAGATGATGATGAGAGTGCTGTTGAGCAACCTGATGCAGCTGAAAACAATGATGAGAGTGATATGGATGAACAAACTGATGCAGCAGAAAGTAATAGTGAAAACCATGATAACACACAACCTAAAGCTAAATTCAATCAATTTCCGCATCAGATTCATTCAGAGGTAAGTGTTAGTATCTGGTTTTGATGAATTAATTACTCAATGATATTGTTGCCATGTTTCATTAACTAAATATGAGTGTAGTTCAATCACTTGACTAATATGAATTACAGATAAGGAAACCACTGCAGCAGACAACTGCCGAAGCATTATCAAATAAGTATCTTCCTCAACAAAGTATTACTGATACATCAAATGTAAGATATAAAGTCCTTTCCTCTTTCTTTCTTGTAAGTTAGTATTATGTGAACTGTGATTATTCTATATGGGGTATGGGGCTCTGGTGCGCCATGAGAAATCTCTCAACCATTGACTTCTTGTTTTGAAGTTTATGGTTTTCAAATATTTTAGGAAGAGGTGGCGAGACACCTTTTTCCATTGAAACCACTTTTTTTTTCACATCTCTATAAATGTTGAAACATGTCATGGATGCTCTCTCTCAGTGAAACCTTGCTTTTTATGTTTGCTGTGTAAAGTTTGATAGGAAGATGATTTATGCTAGTGCAAATGCTAGAATTGCAAGGCTAATGTTGCAACGGTCTTGGGGGATTAGAACAATTTGCATGTCATATTGTTAATGGACATTTTTCAGCAAGCATTTTTCTGGGAGGGAACAAAAAAAGAAATTTGTTTGTCCCAACAAAAATGCTGTCTCCACAATAATATGCATTCCCAGTTTTGCATATACAGTCTTCTTAACAAAGCATCTTTATTTTATTTCTCATAGGTGCTTATGCAGACTCCAAAATCAGGATTCAATAGTTCCAAGGTGTGCTTTTGCACCTCTGAACCATGTCTAGTTGATTGGTTGAAAGGAATAGTATTTGATTATTAGCTGGCATCTCTAGTTATTACACACTATTTACTGTGCAGGCTTTCACATGCTCAATTGCGGAGAGTGCTGAAACTGTTTCAAGAAATTCTGGACAACAGGCTGTGACTTCATCACAGGTATAGACTTCCTTTCTTAATATGTTTTTTGGTTGGCACTGGGCAGACGGGCATCAATTGATCCATGATAATGCTTACGTATCTGAATCTGAACTGCTTAATATGTCTCCCCCTTCCCCCTGAAATATGCATGCAGGCTTCAGAACCAGCATTTGACAGCTCCAAGGTATCCTTTTGCAATTGCAATCTTTGTCTCATTGATTAGTTAAAATGAACACAATTTGATTATTAGCTGACCTCGCTAATTATCACTACTTACTATTTACTATGCAGGCTATCATAGGTTCCACTGTGGAGAGAGCTGACATTATTCCCAAAAATTCACAACAACAGGCTGCGACTTCGTCCCAGGTACGTTTCTTTCTTTTGTAAAATGTGTGTGTGCGTGTTTGTGAGGAGTGGGGTTGGGGGGGGGGGGGGGATGATCATGAGTGTCACTAATTGGTTCATAATAACCCCCTATCAAGTGTCTTTTCATTGTTTTTAATCATAATTGCTTAATGTGTTTTTTCCATCAAACACACCTGCAGGCTTCAAAACCAGCATTTGACAGTTCCAAGGTTTGTTCACAGTTAACTTGCCAGTTGGTTGAAGTGAACTGTAGTTAGTAGTTATGTAGCCCTAATCAATCATTCATCTTCTGTACAGGCCTTTACAGGTTCTGTTGTGGAGCGCACATACAACTTGCCAACATCAGGACAAGATGCCATTTCATCACAGGTATTGTTGATCTATTTGGATATCAATGCTGTACGACAAGCCATTATCTACCGATCCCAATTGTTATTGAACTTTGCAGTCATCCAGCTCTCAACCTTCAAAGCCAGTTTCAAGATTCAAGATGCGGAGATCTTAGTTGTCATTGTTATAGAAGTGTGTAAATTGAGAAACCACAAGCATATTTTGTCTTTGAGCAGTTTCTGGAGATCTGCTTGTGTTAAGCTAGAACAACATTAATGGTCCAAACAGAATCCATCCTTGCATATATTTGATCTTTGTGTGAAAGGCTTCTCGTGTGACCCCTCTGCTCTGCGCTGGTATATTTCTTTCTAGTTGTGGCAACTTGACATGGGTCATGGGCTCCGGAAACCAGAGCAAGTTGAAGTGCTGTCGATAGTGTAGTACAATATTGATGTGTTTATAGATGCCTCATGCTTCTGGCTAGTCTATGAACGCATTGCTGTGTCTAAAGGAATTCTGTTTTTGTTTTTTTGTCATACTAATGACTGGTATAGTGTAATTTTGATCGGCATACCAATGATTGGTCTAATGGAAGGTGCCTAATGGTGATGGCTTGGCTTTCTCATGCCTTCTTGCCTTGCTGTTCCCTGTCCAACAAACCTAACTTAAGAAAGTAAATTATCTGGTTGTTAGGTTTTTAAAATTATCTGGTTGTTAGGTTTTCCTTCAATTCCTCTGTTGAAATTGGATGAACAATCACATCTGCCAGTTGGACAAATTTCAAAATCAGCCCAAGATCCCAAAATCTCATACAAATCTCTTGAAACACAAGTCAATCATATCTTCTGAATCTAGTGTCTTTGAAAGGAAGCTAGAAATGCCACCAATTTCTCATTATTTAACTTTTAATAGCATCTTATTTTAAAAAGCTAAGTTAATAAAATAATATTTTAAGTAGTATAAATATATCTTTTCTTATCGTATATATCTCAATTAAAAAAAATTATTTGAAAAGCTCATTATATTTAAGCGGAAAAATCAAATGTTTTATTTTATTTTAATAAGTTTTATATTAATTTTTTTTACATGTATTATTTTTTTTACATGTTTTAATTTTTTGATGGCTCTACTTTGTTGGTTTCATCTCCATCGGGTGTGTTAAATAAAAAAATAAATATTAAAAAAATATTATTTTAACCTTTTCATGTTTATTTTACACCCTTGAAGGAAAATGCTAAAATATCCTCTCTTGAAGTGTTATGTTTATCTCTCTCAAAGGAGCTAAAACTAATAAAATGGAGCCATAAAAAAAAACTAACTAAATATAACCATATAAAAAAAATAATATTGAATTTATTAAGAAAAAATAAAACATTTATTTCTTTCATTTTAATATAATTGACTTTTTAAAAATAGCTTTTTTTCATTGAAGTATATATATAATAAAAAAAATTATATTTATACTATTCAAAATGCTATTTTATTAACTTAGCTTTTCAAAATAACATTTTGCATTGAAAATGCTCTTAAAAAAAGCATTTTTACATTTTATTTATCATTTCTTTTGAAATGTGTAAAATAAACATAAAAAAACTAAAATAATATTTTTTATTATTTAACTCTTCATTTAGTTGGAGATGCTCTAATATATTTAATTGATGGCAACCTAACAGCTAATACAGAGGGCAGAAATGAAACAATGCCTTTTCACTTCCCACCATCTTTTGCTTCCTTTACATCTATCTACCTGTACAATATTGCTAAAATATGCAGAGAGTAGAAATTTACAAGCGAAGCTATTTTGCTATTTTCAACCATCAGGCATCTCCTCCTTCCTCTTCTTGGAGTCCCGAAGCACATTCTCTCTCTCTGAAGGGGTTGCTGATAGAACCCATTTGCTAAATTCAACCTCCCCCATTCCCACGAACTGAGCAAGGAGACTATATTGGATCTTTTTCCAATCCTTGGATGGCAAATCATTCCTTTTAACACCTACATCACCTGGTTTCCTTCGCCGCTTAACGGGAGGGTCGTTTATGCTATCTTTACCAGGGATGCTTTCTTCTGTGTTCTTTCTAATTCCAGGTCCAATATTGACAATGTCCTCGTTCCGATGAGTGTAAAGAATACCTGAACAGCAAGGAAATTATATCGCATTGAACAGCTTGTACCATCTCTCTCTCTCTCACATGCATGTGTACGTGCACATTCTTTAAAAAATCCGCAAGCTATCTAGTAGTAAAATAGGAAATTCTCCGGATACAAAACACTCAAAACTTTCGCGGTTGGCTACCTTCACCACTTACATACCATCTTCTAGTTTATTTTTTTGTTTTATCGGTTTATTTTAGTTCTTATCTAAGAACTATATCAGTTAAAAAAATTGAATCAATGGCCATTTATGACAAAACCATCTTAGCAAATTCTCATCTACCTCAATTGCAGCAAAACTTGCACCTTTTTACAGATAGCTTTATCATTATGCCAAAATATTCTCATAGAAAAATCACTGTTGAATGAAAATGACTGCTAAATTGTGCAGTAGTATCTAATAACATGTGAATTTAAGTGTAAAACTTTATAACAACATTTTGAGGTATAGATTGATGCGGTGCATTAGAATATTAACAAATCTGAAGAAAACAAATGATAAGTAGAAGAAGATACAAACAAATATACTTACCTAACTCTTCAAGAACAGGTTTCTTCCCCGTAACTCTCTCATGATCCCCATTGCCACTGGTTTCACATGCTGATGAAGTTGTGACAGCTGCTTGGTCAGGATGAAGGAAACAGGTCCCAAGTTCAGGCAACTCTTGCATTGTAGTAGAGCATTGTCCATCACCCTTTCCCTGTTTCTCATGTAGTTCAATGATTTCACTGGTAAAAAGCTTATCAGATAGATCACGGAACAGATTGCAGATACCAAAAAGCTCACCCTGAAATTCTTTGCAATCCTGAAAATCCCAACAAAACGAAGGGAGAAACTCTGAATTTTTCAGTACAAATAGAAAAACCCCAAGGAAATACGAGACCCACACACCAGCCCTTCCATTGAAAAAAGGGTACCTGAACGCCTTCAAAATACCGGTTTTCTATCTTCCCTGAAACAGCAATATTTGACAGCTGCTGTTTGTACACTTGACGGGAATAAACAAGTTCCTCAAAAGAACCAGCTGCAAGAAGGCGGAAAACCACAACATGCCGCTTCTGTCCAAAACGAAATGACCTGTCTTGGGCCTGCAAGTCTTGGGCAGGATTCCAGTTTGGATCAAATATAACTACGCGATTTGCGCTGACAAGATTCAATCCAAGCCCACCAGCTCGAGTTGATATAAGGAACACCTGCAAAAAAAAAAAGATTAAAGTTGCAAGAAATTTGGGGAACAAACTTTATAGTCATCTTTTTACTTGAAAGCTACCTGCTTGCTTGGACTAGAGTTGAAGTCATCAACCAAAGATTGACGCAAGTTAGTTGGAGTAGAACCATCAAGTCTCAAGAAGCTATGCCCTTTGCGTATCAGAAATTTTTCCAGTATGTCCAGCATCCTGGAAAAAAAGAGTTCAACTTTAGAAGTGGTAAAACCAGGATGCTCGAACAATAGGAGTTATGAAAATCATTTATTACAGCTATTCTACAAAATCATAAACAGTCACTTCATGACAGATTAATATACATCAACGGGCAAGATGAAAAATTTTATTTTCTTAGATTTATATATTGAATTTCTGAACAGAAAAAAACATGTGTTGATCAAATTTATTATGTCACTATGAGAGAAACATTTAGCATAACGAGAAAAATAAATAGTTGCACCACAGGCAGGTCTGCAAAGTTATGAAGCATTACCTGACAGAATAGCTGAAGAGAAGAATTTTGTCACCTCGTGAAGCCCAGGAAAACATTAACTTTTCTAATGCTTGCATTTTCCCACAATGTTTGACATCGCTCAAGCCCATGAAATTTTCACTTTGGGCATTTCCTCCCACCAAATCTACATCAGCACCAAAGACAGCAGAGGCAAACTCTGCATCCTTCTTCTGTTTATCCGGTTCATCCCTAGGGTTAGGCTTAATCAGCTCGAGGTGATTGCTTATCTGTTAGTTGGATCCAAAAGTGAGTATGAGGAAATAGACAGGAAGTCTACTTTCCAACGATCACTCATCAAAAAACAAGAAATAGAAAACAGAAAAATCCTTTCACCTGTTGGAGTTTCACAAGGCAAGGAAGAACAAGGCAATAGGGGCACGAATCACAACCTTCAGGGTTATCCCTATGAAGGTAGGGCCATATAATTCCATCTGGCACAATTCTTTTGCAGCATTCCACCTGTTTTAGAGGGCTGCCACAACTACATGGAAGATCCTTATTTACAAGGCACTGGATATCTGGCAGTTGCAACATGCTCCTATAAACCCGCTTTTGCAATTCACTCATGGAACAGAACACAACATTGTCTTCCTTTCCCATCATAAGATGTCCAATGGTCTCCTCCTTTGTCCTTCTAAGCATGTACTTATGAAGAACTGACACTAGGTGCTCTTTGCGCTTATCAGCTTTCCGGACAAAACTTTCAGGTGCAGTTGACCTTTGGCCATGCTTGAGAGGTTCATCATAAAACTCTCGAAAGTGTTCTCTTGATCCCAGAGACCTGGGAGCAACCCAATCAAGGAGATTAAAAAGCTCCATAATTTTATTCTGCATAACAGTTCCTGTGAGACCAATACGTCTTCTCGTTTTAATTTCTAAACATGCTAGATATAATTTTGACTTTTCATTTTTAAGCCGATGCGCCTCATCAACAATCACAACCTCCCAATCCACCTCTGACAAAATGTTGCCATGAATTCTGTACGTGTCAAAACTGGTAATCAGTATCTCAACTCCACCTGCTTTTAGTTTCTCAAGTATCAAATCACGGTTTGTCCCATGGTAAAGAGAAACACTAAAGCTGGCCCATCTAGAGAATTCACTTTCCCAATTGTGGATGACAGAAGTGGGGCAAATTATAAGGACAGGACCTTTTTTACCTACCTGGTTTCCCTTTAATGTTATGGACTCACCGGATTCTTCATCTTTTCCGAAGATAGCAGCCAGGAAAGCAATTGTCTGAATGGTCTTGCCGAGTCCCCTGATCCATTTTTTCAAAAAACAAAGTCAACAGATATCAGCCCACCAGAAAATTCAGGAGTATTTATACAAGTAATACTATGTATATTCGTAAATGCATACTCCATACATGCATAAACTCAAAATTAGCTTAACAAGAAAATGCCATTATTGTTGGTCAAATATCTACAAGTGATAAACAACTCAAGCAAGAAAACACTTTCAGTGTCTGACAAGACCTGTAAATTATTGTCAAAATGGGTCATGCATAATCATCTGAGAGTAAAACTGTCACAGATGAAATACAAAACTTATCAAGAAATCACATATTTCAACACAACAAATATACTGACATGTCATCACCAAGAACACCTCCATGGTTGTCTAGGTATAGCTTATATAAAAATTTTACTCCCTCCCTTTGATGTTCAAGCAACCTGCAGTTAATAGAAGCAGGAACCTGCAATCAAAATTAGCAGGAAAAAAAATCATCCACAGATTCCCAAAAATTAAAGAACTCTCTATTCTCTGTGTGTGTGTGTTTCTTTAATGTAAATTAAGCAAGTTTTTTATGTGTTCTTAACTTCTATAATCCAATTTTGCTATTACAATTCAAAATTTACTCTTCTCCAAAGTTAATCAAATTCTGTAACAATTGCACTACACATAACATTCTTCTAAAGGAAGAAACAACTCCTTAACATAGAAAAAAGTGAACTTTCTAATTCAAACAACAAAAGGACACATACTTTCCAACACAAAAACAAAACTTGAACCCAGAAACTGCAATTACAGAAGAAAAAAACAACTGGGTCAAAACAATTCGAAGCATAAAATGCATAATTATCAATTACCCGTATGACAGGAACCTCTCCAAGCAAAGAAAGGACTAGTGGCTCAAAGGGTCCAGTATGTTCAAACTGAAACTGACCCAATTTAGTTCTCCCAAGATCCTCAAACTCCCTCTCCCTCTCCTCTTCTTCCTGCCTACCTTCAAATTTCACAACTTGGGCTTCATTTCTAAGCCCCTGTGAATTCTGGGGTTGTTGAGTTCTTGCATTTAGTGAGTCATTATGTTGTGATGAAGGACGAAAAGGTTCTCCAAGACGTTGGAGTTGCTTTGAAAGAGAGGATTTTGGTGGCTTTCTTGAGATGGTTAGTGCTGGTTCTGGTTCTTGGGAGAATGATGGCTGTGTTAAAGAAGAGGATGATGATGATGATGATGATGATGATGTTGTTGAAAGATTTGAGCAGGGTTTAAGGATTTCTTTCAAGGCCTTGAAACTCGTGAGAAGGGACATGACATGACATGAAAGAGAGGAATTTGATGCAGATCTTACAATGTTCGTGGGAACTGATGAGTACTTTTGATGCCTGTGGTCTTCTTGGTTTTGAAATCAAGAAAACAGACTCAACAGCTATTTGATTCGGTGATGCGTGCTTGAGGGGCCGGCTTTTAGAGGAACGGTGTCGCTGAACATGTAACTTTTTTGCCCCTCCCAGCCGTCGGGTATTTTTGTACCGATTATAGTTGCAAAACGGGGACCGGCTGCCCAAGTTAAGCCGGCTCCTGGCTGATTTGAAAAAAAAAAAAAAAAAAAAAAAACATTAACTAACTTGGCAAAAAAAAAGCGTTGACTTAATAGATTTTTGATCCTATTAAATTTTTTAAAGTTTATTCATGTGGATTCTTTTGATTTAGATCCTCCTCTAGGTCAATTTATAAATCAAGTTTTACAATTATAATAACTATTTTACTATACTCATTTTGTTTTTCTAAATTTGATAACAATGGGGAGAGTGAATAAATTTTGTTGTTTTAACAATAATGATCTTATATTATATTTTTTATGTTAATATTAAAATAATAGAAGATTTTGAATCTTAATCTCATTTCTTCAAACATAAAAAGTCTAGTAAGAGAATATAATTTTTTAATCATCGTAACAATATTTTAAAATCTTAAAATTAAGTTTTAAATTAGAATTTATAAATAACATGAGTTAATTATTCACATTATTTTGAATAGAACATCAGAATCACCACCACTTGTTTTTACATTTAGAATTGTATTTTAAAAAAATATTTAATATAAAAAAAATAAATTAATAATTTTTTAATACTTTAGGATGATTTTAATGTGAAAAAAATTAAAAATAATAATTTAATACATTACCAAATTAAAAAACACTTAAAAAGAAGTACAATTTAAAGCACTTTACTAGGTTTCTCTTAGCTAGATGCAACTCCTACCCTGTTACCATGGAAAAGATCTCCCCTACATGAGAAGTAATTTTCTTAATCAAAGCTGTCAAACGGTAAAAAATAAAAATAAGACAGAGATTATAATAATTGTTGCTTTTTAAAGTATTTTATATTTAAAAATATATTAAAATAATTTTTATTTTATTTTTTTAAAAAATTATTTTTAGCATTAGTACATTAAAATAATTCAAAAAAATTATTTTAAATAAAAAATTTAAATTTTAAGAAATATAATTTTAATTATGTTACTAAACGCTAAGTATATAAGATACCCTATCCTCTTATATAATATACAATTTCATAGTAACATAGCAAAGTGAATAATAAACAATTTTCTTTTTATTTTTTTTTAAGGTGAACGGTATTCTCAAACTAATTTATTCATGAATTAAAATTAATTCCGGAAAAAGCTATCTTAGCTATCCTATAGTTTGGTTGGTTTTACACTTACTCTTTATATTTTAAAAAATTATAATTTTTATCCTAAACTTTATAGCAGCTGGACAATTTACATTATAAATTTTTGTATAGTTTAGTCTATTTTACACTTATTAATGATTTAAATTATAATTTTTTCAAAATATGTTGAGTAAAAATAAAAAAAACTAAATTATATCTTAATCAATGTAATTTTTTCTTAATCATTTTTAACCATCGATCTTAATGACTCATCCCCTAATGTATTTAGTTCATTTAGAAGAATAAATTCTTATAATTATTGGTTTAAATTCAAACGATATATTAAGCCTTCATTTGCGATCATGATATTTAAATGAAGGTTGGTTGAAATTTAAATTTTTTATTTAAATTAATTGTTTATTTTGATATGTTTATATTAAAAATAAATTTTAAAAATAAAAAATACTAATTTAATATATTTTTAAATAAAAAATAATTTAAAAAGTAACTTATGTTACAATTTCAAATTTCCCTTTAAGAAATAAATAAATTTCTTTGAACTATTAGACTAATATTTTAAGATTACAATAAACAAGATTTACGGTGACCTGTATTCCAGCTTTGATCTGCATGTACGGGGAAAGAAAGGTGCAATAATTGCAAACATCAATATCCATGTGAAAAATTTTAAAATTAGTAATTGAATTTTCAATATCATAATATAATTTAATATTACAATTGGTATATATATATATATATATATAATACCAAATACCAATCCATCTGCGATCACCTGAATATTTCAAAATGTTAGTAAGCGGGTTTTCAATGCGCTTGTGGAATGCCGAGAAGAAGGCATCTCTTGACATTAATTTAGTGTTTAATTACAAATTAAAGTTCATTATAGTCTCTAATTAAAAAAAAGTTCATTCCAATGATGAAATGTTTTTTTTTTTTTTTTTGTTGTTGTTCAATCATGATCACCAGCCATTTCCAACAAAACTTTGTCCCCTTCTAAACCTCTTTTCAATTAAAATTGCGGTAACTCCTGCTTGTAGATTTTTTTTTTCTGGTCATTTATTTTGAAAAAAATATTATATTATATTATTATTTTTATTTAAACACTCTTTACTTCAATATCAAACACATTAAATTGATGACTTTTTCTTTTCAATCACATAAAAAAAATTATTTATTTATCAAATAATTTATGTTTTTTATTAATTGCATTTCAAACTTTAGTTTTGTAAAAACTAAATAGCATGCTTTAATAGAAACTTATTTTTTATTTATTTTATATACAAAAATTTATCTCATTATTATTTTAACAAAAATATTTTTTTTAATTATTACTAATTTTTTATATAAAACTTACTCTTCTAAATTACAAATATAAAATTCACCACAAATCTCTATTTCTTTTCATTCATGAAAGCAAAAGCAAAACCAAAATTGAACAAAATCAAGATTTTGAAATTAATTATCTTTCTCACAACTAAAGTTGTTTCAAGCTTTGGTTTAGAGGTGGCTTTGATTTTTTTTTAGTAGAATCCATATAAAAAACATGTTTGTTTAGCTTTTAAAGGTGTTAGTTATACATTAAAAGGGTCATATCTAAAAAAAAACTCACCACATTTCCAAACTAAACACTTTTAATTTGGAATCTCTGGATGAAAAGTGGTGATTGTTTTCAATGAAAAGCATATATTTTTACTTTTTAAAAATATAGTATGTAATTTAAAAAAATTATACTTTTTAAAAACACCACCACACCTTCCACCTAAACACTCTTTAAGTTTATTATGCAAAAGTTTTAAAGGTTTTGAACACCCTAGAACTTATCAAGATCTTCAGGACATCCCTAAAACTATAGCTTCTGCCCCCTCTCAAGTCCCTACTAGGTTTGGACTTCTCCAAGCTGATCCCAATTCTATTAAATTGTTCAATAAAGTCCAACTTGAAAATTTTTATAGTGATAAAATCATAATTATGAATAGTTATAACATAAAATTTCAATTCTCTTCAATCACAAAATCCCGTGTTAGGCATCTCATGCAGGAGATTTCCAAGAGGCAGACTAGTTGGGCCCATGGCCATGATGCCCTTGCTTCTAACCTCCTATTTTACTTGCCTTTTGATCACACATTGCAGAAAAAGGCACTCAGCACATCCTCTAATCTAGCTTTAATTTTAATTATTGGAAGCTTTAATTTTTCAAATATGAGAATAAGTGAGACTTCATCATTTAATCTGATAATTTATGACACATTCAATTCAATAATAAAGAGGGGGATTTTAATTATTGGAAGCCTTAATGTCCCTTTCCTGCCAATTAATTGCTTTATGAAAATTGAAAAAAATAATCATTAATTTTTCATGTTTTTTTTTAATCATTAGAAGAGCATAGCTAGCTAGTATATGAAGAATAATAAATAATTGGAAACCCATAATTAACTAAAATCAATACTCCTTGTAAGATGTAACTCCTAGCTAGCTTTTAGTTGATGAATAAACGAAGAAATCCCTTTTTGCAAAGATTAAAAAAATTATTTAGATAATGTATGGAAAATTTCAAACTTCCAATTCAATGAATTTCAATACTTTTCAAGAAGATAGTTTAATTAAGAAAATAAAAAAAATAAATTGATTTATTATAAATTGTTTTTTCTTAAATCATCACATGCATGCATTTCCCAACAAAACTAATTCTGTCTTCTTCCAAACCCGTTTTGCTCAGAAAATTATACAAAGCTACAATCCATAAACTTGTTCTCTTCTTCTGTAAAAAGCAAAAGCAAAAGAAAAAGAAAAAGAAAAAGAAAATTTAAGAAAAGCAAAACCTCATAACCGTTAAGTCCCTTGCATGCTGAGACGTGTAATCACTCTCTAGCTATGAAATTAAGAAAATAACAGTTTCTTCTTCTTCTCTGAAACGCATGCAATATTTATTAATTAACACGTAGACTCAATAGCCAGCCAAGCATTAACAACAACGATCTCATGCTTTACAACGGTAAAATCATCACAGTCTGCCTATATAATTCACGCCAATGACACCCTCAATCCCCATCAGTTCTTTCTCATTCTTTCTCTAGCAATACTTGGGTTGCTGCTTGAGAACTTGCTGTGGGGTTTCTAGTATATTTTTCTCTTGTTGGAAAATGGGGTCTCAGAGATTTTCTGGTTCTTTGTTTGTGATGCTGGTCTTTGGATTTCTTCTTGGGGTTTCTCGGGGTTATAAATTCTATGTTGGTGGTAGAGATGGTTGGGCTACAAACCCTTCTGAGAGATACAGTCACTGGGCTGAAAGAAACAGGTTTCAAGTCAATGATACTCTCTGTAAGCTCAATTCCTTCGAGTTGTTCACTAATTATATGTTAAGATTATTTCGAATTAAAGAAAATAATTATTTCTCTTATTTATGGTGCAGTTTTCAAGTACAAGAAAGGATCGGATTCAGTCTTGATAGTAAGCAAAGATGATTACTACTCATGCAACACCAAGAACCCTATAAAATCCTTAACAGATGGTGACTCAACTTTCATCTTTGATCGTTCTGGTCCTTTCTTTTTTATTAGTGGCAATGCTGATGATTGCAATAAGGGTAAGAAACTGATAATCGTTGTCATGGCTGTGAGACCAAAACCCCTCCCTCCTACTCCTTATTCTCCCATAACACCAGCTTCTTCACCTCAACCTACTAGTTCTCCACCGGCTGTGTCTCCGGATGCCCGGAGTCCTTCGGATTCCGCTGGTCCTGCGCAGGCTCCTTCGACTAATAATAAATCGGGTTCGTCGGGTTTTACTGCTGGTTCATTGTCAGTT